TTAGGGCCTCTATGTTCACTAGTTAGTTCTGAAGCTCGATCTGACGCTTCAGGATCATTATCGTGCCCCTTGGGCTACTCATGCTGAGTTCCTATAAATAATATAAAAGATTACTTAAAGTATTAGTATGAGTAAATATTTAGGGGTTAGGAATGTCTCTTACAAGTGGGCAGCCCCAATAGCCAGCACCTACATTGATTCTTGCTTGCTGCCTCCCAAGCAGCCCTAAACTTGAGCCTGCTTTCAGAGGAGTGCCTCTTAATGACGCGGCTATGTTCTTTATGCCGTCATGTAGACCCTGCATCATGATTTTCTATCATTCTTTCTCCCTGCATTTTAAAATTTCCAAGGATAGTGTAAAGAACCTTTGGTTCTCTTCTAGCTGCTTATACATTCAGTCTTAAATTTCCCATAGCACTTTTGCCACAAGTCTACTGGATATGATCAGTAGGTTGGGTTGTCCACTTCCTGACTTTAAGTCAGGGCTCGTGCTGTTACTACTTGTCATCATCAGCATTATGTGCTTACGATGTTCAACTGCTTCAGCATTAGGCAATAAGTGTTCTATTCCTACGTGCGTAAAGGTCTCTTATGGTTCATGAGAACTAATACCTGTTTCATCAGTCCTTTTATCTTTTCGTGTCCTTGCCATCTTTATTACACAGTCTCACCAGGTGTGCCAAAAATTGTTTGTGGTGAACGATAAATACCAGGTGTGTCAGGAACGTTGAGTCTTAATTGATAACAAAAGAGTTCTGAACTCTCTTACTATAGTTTACTCAATGTAAAAAGATATAAGGCTTTGGTAGAACAAGTATTCAATTTTTATTGAAATGTGAAAAGATTACAGACCTAAAACTGATAGACTAACTGATAAACCAAAAAGGGCTAACAAATGTAAAATTGTGAGTCTTTGATTAAATGTTGACTAGTTTCTTCTGTGTCTTCTTCTATTTATAGTGTTATAGTAGTAGTAACTTTTTCCTTGAAACCTAACACGTTTTGCTAAAGAATCAGGAATCTCATAAAACTCATGGCACGGTCTGTATTCCATGCTCTCCATTTTAGTAACCAGCCCGTTTCACTGAGATACTTAGGCATGAGGTCCATAAATTTCAGCATTACTTAAGATCGTGTCTTTCGTGCCAATGATCTAATATTTGCAGCTAATGAGATTTTGACATGTTTACTTATTATGTTCTTTGTTGAGCCTCGGGGCTAGCCCCTTTCATTTATATTGGGTCTAACGTTTCAATTACTCGCCTAACTAGCCCTGTGGCCTATTTGAGCAATGTTTCATATTTAGCCTAAACATATATAAACAAAAATTGTGAATTTTCAATACCTCATGCATATTAAGACTTACAAATCAAGACTTGCGAATAACTATTAAATTATTACGAATTTAGAAATAAAAACTTTTAATATATGAATAAATTGTGAATGAAGAGTCACGAATTTTTTTAATTTGAATAAAGGGCAAAAGTGTTATTTCTTATAATTCTCTAATGGCAAAAACATCCCTCGAGACTTTAGGAGAATTATGCCATTTTATGAAATCAATTTGTGATTTATGTAATTTAAATGAATTTTTCTATCATTTTTTCCTAAACATTATTAAAATTACAGTTAAATTTGTGTTTTCAATAAGTGGGGGATGACATTTTTTTATTAGGGAAAGGCATTTTGATATGGATATCTCAGTCTGTCACATCATTGTTTTCCTTTCTTAAAATTTTTCCTTTTATTCAGTTGCCGACAAAGGAAAGAAGAGAGAGAGAGCATAGAAGATTAGAAGTTGTGATCAATCCAGCAGTAGTAGCATGAAATTGAGTTTAGAAAAGTGAAAGTGGTAGAATAGTATAATAAAAATATGATAATTATTGTGTAGTTTTTGAAGACTTGTCTAGCATATTAAATTTTGAAAAAAATGTCAAATTTGCTCCAATTTGAAATTTAAAAGAGTTAAGGTGCAATTAGTAGCGTGAAATTGAGTTTAAAAAAGTGAAAGTGGTGGAATAGTATAATAAAAATGTGGTAATTATTGTGTAGCTCTTGAAGACTTGTCTAGCATATTGAGTTTTGAACAAAATGACAAATTTGCTCCAATTTGAAATTTAAAAGCATTAAGATACAATGTTGCCCTTAACTATTCTCAAAGGAACAATATTGCTCTTAAATTACTCAATGTAGTAATGTTGTCCTTAAACTAATTAAATTAGAGCAATGTTAATCCCACCATTTAAACATCCATTAACTACAGCTAGTGAGACCTATTTTTTTATGAGTTAAAGTGTAATTTTTTTCTCTAAACTATTATCAAATAAGCAACTTGCCCTCACCATTTAAAAATAAAAAATATTTATTTTTGGATAACCACTTTATGATGGTCTATGTATAGATTTTTTTTTTTTAGGTTTATAATGCACATGAGAGAGTATATTTATTTGTGATAGTCAATTTTATATGTTAATCTACTAAAGACGATAAAAAGTGACCTTTTATCTAGAAAATGTTGTTTGTATGCTTTTTATTGGATCAAGAGCTTCTCTTGTAATATTATTAGTGTGAATTTGTCATATTTGTTACTAAAGAAAATTAGTACAAAATTGAGCTTCTTCTCAATATATAATTTATGACTAGTTGAAATATTGGTGGAAAATATTATGACACAAATACATGCATTCACATGAATATTGAATGTTAGAAAGGATGTGAATAGAATGGCACCAATATAAAAAGTATATTTTATTATCTCTCTCTAGTTAATGGACATTTATTATTTTTAAATAGTGGGGCAACGTTGCTTCGATTTAATTATTTTCGAGGCATATTGCTCCTTTAAAAATATTTTAGGGATAAAATTACACTTTAACTCATAAAAAGTGAGTCTTACAAACTATAGTTAACAAACGTTTAAACGGCAAGACAACATTACTTCTCTGAGAATAATTTAAAAATAAAATTGTACCTTAACCCAATTTAAAATGAAATATATGAAAGACAAATGACTACTTAAAAATAGAAAATAAAAAATTGTTTTAGGCAAATGATTAAAACTTAATAGAAAATTATAAGTATCACTACTGCAAAAATTAAGATATAAAATGCAAAAAAATGAAGGTTAAAAAATATACATCACATATAAGAGGGGCGGGTGGTTAGGAAATAAATAATAAATTTTTTGAAGGCCAATCAATTATTATTTTCAAATAAACAATGGGTATTTTAAAAACTCGTCATATAAAATTTCAACTTCAGTTTATTAAAAAATTTAAAAATTTAAATAATAAATGACGGGTGTTTCGAACACCCATCATTTATTTGAAGTTTTTAAATGACGAGTATTTTGAAACACCTGTCATATAATCTTTTAGATTCCTATTAAAAAATAAAAAAAAATTAAACTTAAAATTATGAGTGTTACAACACCCGTCATTTAAAATTTTTCAAATATATAATAAGTATTTGAAAGATGGGTATTTGATGGAACATCATTTATTTCCTAATATATGACGGCTGTGTCAAACATTCATTAAAAAACCATCATTTATTTCCTTTTTAATACTTTGTTTTGATTCATTTTTCATCTTCGCAACCCATTCATCTCCTCTTCTTCTCTCTTCTCTACTTGCAACAAAATTGAAAGAACTCTCACAAACTTTCTCTATTGCTATCATAGAACACCATGCATTGCTCTGACATGAAGTTGCCACCTCCTACACCGTCATTCACCATCTTAGATTCTTCCTCTTTGGGTTTCAATTCTCTTTGCTTGAAGGTGTGATTTCTTTATTTTTTTTTCCTTTTCTTTCAATATCCATTGATTTTTAGGTTATGAGAATGATTTATTTAATGTTGTGGATTATTTTATTGGTTGATTTTTCTTGTGTGAGTTTCTACTCATTAGTTGCTTATTTTGGAATTGTGAGGTGTCAAAAACTGACAATGTTTGATGTGTTATTGACTTGAGAATGCTAATAGATGATAGGTAGCCTTAGGATGATTTTTAGAAGGAAAATGAGCGATCAAAATGAAATATTCATGATAATTGTATTTTTTTATAAATTTTGAATGATTTTTTAATAATTTTTAATTTAAATGCTATGCGTTATTTGATCAAAGTAGTTTTATTGTTTAAAACTACATATTAAAATATACTAGTATATCAAATTTTATTACAATTGGAGTTGATTTAGATAACCGACACTGACGCATGATTTCTCTAAAAATCATTGTTATTTTATTTAGATTTTGACATTTGCTAAAGTATGATGTTTTCTTGGCTTGATATTGCTAATGTAAGATATGTGCAACTTTAGAATAATCAATGAGACTAAAAGCATAGATTGAAAATGATGTTTATAGTGTTTTTCTTTCTTTTTTGTGAGTTTTTTAATGAATTATAGATATAATGCATTAATACATATTCATCTATTGTTTTTTGAAAACTTTGATGTCTTTCGAGATGTAATCATTGTTTTTTTTAAAAAGTATCTCTATTGATAATGACTTTATATTTATTGTAGAGTGTTTAATAGAGATAAATATGAAAAGATAAGATTAGTTAAAAAATAAATAATTATTTTATTGAGAATGAGATTCAATTAAAAATATTTTATATTTTTAAATAGAGAAAGTAAGAATCAAAAGTTATGTTTTTTTAATTAAAAATATTTTATATTAAAAAAAAATTATATAAGAGAACAATTTTTGACAGTAGTTTGACAAAAATCAAAATAAAATTTCAAAATGTTGCCCCGCCCTCACTGTTTGTCGTCTAATCAAATCAAATAAATTCTGGGTCCAGTAGAAGACAAGTTTGGCACTAGCACAGATTTTCCTGACTTCCGCATTCAATAATTAAAACCAATCAATGTGGCTTTTCTATTATGAGTAGGCAGGTGTCTGTATGCATATCATACACATATCTAAATAAGTAAACACACGGAGGAACAGGTGGCGATCAAACACCCACAAGCTATAGCAACAAATAGCAGCTTAGTTCCTTCGCCCTCAACGTTGCTTTATCATCCGCTTCACAGAAGAGAGAGAAAAAGGGCGGCGGGTAGATGAGATCATGAGAACGAGTCCTTGCTATACTAGGGAAGGTTTGAATAGAGGAGCATGGACAGCTATAGAAGACCAGATTCTCACCGATTACATTGAGACTCATGGCGAGGGAAAATGGAGACTCGTTCCCAGAAGAGCAGGTTAGATATTTATTTAACTACTAATTATATATAACTATGTCTGTGTGTTTGTAAGTACGTTTAAATAAATTCTTGGAAATATTATGGTTTAATTAATGAATTGCTGATGATCTGATATTCAGGTCTTAAGAGATGTGGCAAAAGTTGCAGGCTCAGATGGTTAAATTATCTGAAACCTGATATCAAAAGAGGAAATATCACTCCTGACGAAGAGGATCTCATTATCAGACTTCAGAAGCTTCTTGGAAACAGGTTCGCACTGATCACTCCAAATGCATCAATTCCCTTTTGTTTTGGGTTCAATTCCATATGTTAATCTCCTTTTCAAGTTTTTGTACGGCCTCGTTAATTAGATCAGTAATAGTGAAGAATGCGCTATGTAGGTGGTCTTTGATAGCTGGGCGATTGCCGGGACGAACGGACAATGAGATAAAGAATTATTGGAACGCCCACATCAGAAAGAAGCTTCTATACGCAAAACCAGAATCCTCAATCCCTTCAAATTCTGGTTCATGCGTGATTCGAACCAAAGCAACGAAGTGCACCGAGGTACTAACGTGCGAACAAGTCCAGCCGTTAATGGAAATGGCTGCATCTTCTTCTTCGACTCATGACATGAACGTTAGGTGTGAACGTGAGAAAATAATGGAGGCTCCACCTTCGGTGGATATGGAGGCAAATACTAATTACAATCCGTTAGATTTCATGGCGCATTTTGAACTGGATGATCGTTTCGTTTCGAATTTTCTGAACGCGGATGCATTCGAACCGTCTTGCTTTCTTGGGAATAACAAAGTTGTTGAAGACAGCAACGCCGGCCCTGATTGCGACCAAGGTTGTCGGATGAATAACGTTTCGTATGATTGCTTGCTTGACACCCAGGATTTACAATCAACGCCGCCAGCTTTAAAGGAGAATGGTGATCTAGAGTTCGATTGGCCTTTTGGAAACCTTTGAATCTCAAAGCACGCATCCCTCTCTGCCACGCATGGAGGCATAATATGGTTCCATCTTATTTTATTATATATTATCTTATTCAACTTATAGTGTTCTATACTTCCTCATTTTCTACAAATTATTGTGTATGAGTTCCAAATAAGGGAGTTACCTCGTAAGTTAAATGACGTTTATAAATTTAAAAAGCCTCTCATTTTTATTTATTTTTTTGAGATTGGTTCTCCTTTTAAATTTTCGTTTGTAATATTTATGTTTTCATTGATGAGATGCCAATGTCACAGATATGGAGAGGACTTTTTATTAAGAGTTTTGACCAGCGAGAAGCTGACTAAAGTGTTATAAAGTGAAACTGTCAAGAACATTGACTTGTGCTTCTAACATATTGTTGGTTCAAAATATATATAGAACAATTTGTAATTGTAAGAAATAGCTATATATATAACTCATGTTGGATAATATACACCGACTGTAAATGCTTGAGAAATTGTAAGTGTTAGGCGTTGAGAAGACAAAAATAAAATAAATCAATTTTTTTATGAATTTGGAAAAAAGTTAAAACTTTTTAATACGCATGATACACATGTTGAAAGTGTACTATATTGAAGACAGGGGAGAGCATATAAAAATTTCAAACTAACACTATAAAAAAAACTTATAACAACAACAAATCATAATCACCATCAAAATCATCACCAAATATATACTTCTAGCGATATTAAATGTTGCTATTAAAAGTAAACTTTTGTTGGCAACTTTTAATAATCACATACCAAAAGTGAACTTTTGGAGGTGACATATGTCGCTACCAAAACTATTTTTTATAAAAAATAATTTATATAATTACTTTTGGCGATAACATTTATCTTCATTGAAAGTTATTTTTAAAAAATTAAATATAATTTTAAATTATATAAAATAATCTATGAAACTATCATTTAAATTATTAAAAAATTTCTTATGAATTATTTTAAAAATTTAAAATTAAATAAAATCATTGAAAAAATATTTATGAAATTAAATTTTTTATTTTATACGAAAAATTAGAAATAAATGACATATAGAATTGTGAAACAAAAAGAATAATGGTGAAGATGTGTTAATTTTAATTATTAAATCGTTTTTTAATTTTATATAATTTATAATCTTTTTTTAGACATATATAGCTCATATTTTTTTAAGAATTATATTATTAAGCTAGTAATTTAATATGATAAATTAAAATCTTAGTGGTTATTACTTTCAATTACAATCAGGTTAAGTTATCATAAATTATTATTTAAATACACTGGCATTGGGATGTTAAAGTTGTATGAATATCATGAAATGTAAATGATATTATAGGTTGTTTGGTATATTATGCACTTGATGCTCAGCTTAGCACACAAATGGTGATTACCTTTTCTATTGAGTTTTAATAGCTTTTAAACAAGGATTTTATGTAATTCTACGTAATGTATTTATGTTTCCATTATTAAAAAAAAGAAGTTACTAATAAAATATTTATAACTAATTATTATCAAGAAGAATATGAAAAATTATTCAAATTGACCTTGTTATGAGGTAGAGGATGATTAGAGGTTAGTTAGATTGATCACATATGAGATTTTTTTAATTATCTTGTATTATAAAAGTTATTAGTATTTATTAAAAATTTAAAATTATTGAAAATGACTATTAACAAAATTCATGTGGTAGAAATTAATTTGATATTAAAATGCTTTTTTTAAGATATTAAAAAATTATAGATAAAATATATTTTTAATAAAAGAGGGGGAAACATTTAACCATTTTGAGAGAAGATAAAATTTTAATCATTTAATTTATTAATTTTTGGTAAAAATATGGAGAAGAAAAAAGTAAAATATATTTAACATAAACTAATATAATACATATTTATAAATAAATTATATACTTAATAATTTTTATTTTAAAAATAAAATTTAAAAATTGGTTACAATGTATATAAGAATATTATTTAATATTTAAAATTTTTATTTTAAATTTATTTTCCTAATAAAAATAATATTTACTGGTAAAAAATAATATTTTATTAACAATAATATTCATATAAATTATTTTTTCATATTAATAATTGAAAATAAAATAAAATAAATGTATATTTTTAATAATATATTATTTGATATATATGTATGTAGAGAAATAATATATATTTAATTTTACATATAATAATTGTGGATATATTTTAGTTCAATTGACAAAGAAGAAATACTTAAGACTTGAAGATGGGAGGTAAAGGGTTTAAATTTTTGCTTTGACATATATGACATAGCTCATGGTGGTAGCATAGCGTTGAAGTGGCTTGAGGAGATACACACATGATGGGTCACGTGGTACAAGGTGGCAACATCTATTGAACATATGGTGTGTGATGTGGCATAAGGTAGCAGGGTGATGCACACATGGCAAAGTGACATCGTATAAAATAAATTATTATTTTTAAAAAGCTACTAAAAGTCTAAAAATTAAAAGTCTTGGCGGCAACATTCATAAAATAAATTACTATTTTAAAAAAATCTAAAAATAAATTTTTAGTATTTAAAAACTTTTGACAGTAATATTTATTGCCATTAAAAATATATTTCATTGTCGCCTCCAAAAATTAGTTGTGATAATTGTTAAGTGATAACCTTTTAGTAGTGATTTTTAGCGGCGACTTTTAGACTTTTGATAATGACAATGTTTTTTTTTGCAGCGTAATATAACTTTTTTACACTAAAAATGTATCCTTAGATTTATTTTAAGAGGTAACTGTTTTTTTTTTAAATTGCGAAAGCGAACGCTGTCACTGTAATTAAAAAAAAATACTTGAAATTAGTTAGCAGTTTTATATTACTCTTTTCTTTCTTAGGCCCGGATGTTCCTTCATGTAGCGTCCACATTCCCCACCCGTCGGACCGATGAGCACTTAAAGCTTAGCAGCAAATTAAAACGCATCATTTGGATTAGTGAAGTGATTTGAACTGTTAATTATACCGATCCCTTGCATTAGGAGACAAATTACGGATAATATATAGTTATGGCCTTACGGGTTATACCGCAAGTATTGATGTATTTGATTTCAACAGGCTCAATGTTGTGATACTGAGTAATTATACCATAGATATATGTTCGATCTCCGTAATATCATCCAATATCATATGTGGATTTCATTTGTCAACCATTTATTTTCAATAATCAGGCTTGCGTTTGCAAAACTAAGTCAAAAAATATGATCCATTGATCTTAAATCAATTTTACAAAGTGCTTAATGTCATTATGTTTAAATGGCAAGTACGCAGACACTGTTTTGTATCAATGAGAGCCTCACTGAAATTAAAGTTCATGCCATAGCTTTATTTTGGTATGTATACACAATTTTAGTCGTGCATTTAAGAAAGTGTCTAATATAGCAATTTAAAGCACTCAATAGTCTCATCATCAATCAACAAGGATACTCTGCAAATGACAATTACACTTCTTCTTTAATGATTAAGGCCGCCCAAATTGCTTTGGGTCAATGATTTCGATTTGTACTCTTCGTAGTGTCTAGTGCAATATAGCAACATTAAAATGTGTGTTTAGTCTATTAGCATTTCTAATACTTGCCCAAAACACATGGGTGATGGCTAGTTTTCCTATGTCCATCTAATTAATATTTACAGTAAATGAGAGATTTGTTGCAAGTTGTTTTTGAAAATAATCAAACTTCTTTGCCTTTTACACTATAAGTAGTTTTACATGTATCTCTAAATATATTCAAGATTTACCTATTGCGTACATACGCAATAACTCAAAAACTTTCTTTTATGGGAGAATGACATATAATAGTCCTGAAGATGAAATTAATAACAGTTATGTTCATCATAATTGTTTCCATATAGTAGTTGCAAATAGTTGAGAATCTCAGTTACAATTTGAGAGTAACATTTAGAACTTAAATATCTTATTTATAAATAAAATTTCTAACTTTGCAATTATTTGAATTAATATTTATAATTTTTTTAAAAAATTATCGGGAATGTATATGTCATTAATTTGTTTTTGAAGAATTTAACTGTCATTCTTTTTTCTTCTATGTTTAAAACATTACAATTTTATCTAATTGTTTAAAAATATTCTTTTAAATTACCATTTCACTCTACTTAAAATCATTAATATTTCTAACGGTTAGTAACAATTCTAGATTTCAAAACTTTGTAATTGTAAATCTAACAATCATTATAAATCTATTTTAATTTGTATATTGATACATATACCTTTATTTTTGGAAAAAAATCATTCACAAAGATATATACATATGGGAATGGGACAGGACATCCTCTGTTACTCAAAATTTGAGTTGTGACCAACATATAGGCTAAGTTAACTTAATCCCACTTAGCCTTACAAGCCTTAACTAGTTAAATTTCTCACACAAAAGTATTCCCAACAATGTAAATTATTTACTTAAATTTCAACGATTCCCACTAGATTGAGTGTTAAGAGAAAATGATAAATCAAATTGGCAAAACACATTTTGAATGAAAACATGACTATTTATTTAATATTACAACTTGACTCTAGCACTACCATAGTAGTCATGATGTTACATAATTTCATAACACAACCTCGCAATCTACTCCATTTGTTTGGAAATGATACCTCATAAAAAAGAACTTTAACAATTGCCTCCCTTGGGGAAAAAAGTATCAAGAGAGGAGTGAGTCTATCACTAACTTACTGAAAACATAAATAACAAAGTCAACAAAAGAGAAACAAGAGTATACAAGAGTTTTTTGCAAGTGAATTTAAATGAAACAAGTCAATGCTATGATGTTCAAATATTTATAAAATATATTTTTCATGTGCAGAAGGAGAAAATAAATTTTCCAATACTTCATCTATGAATCAAACAACCATGTAATAACTCAACTCCCAGTCTTTCACATCAAACATGTAGCCACAATATTCAATCTTGTCAAGCCATCATAACATTCAATCAAAACTTTTGATCACAAGCTCATATCAAAAAATCATGCCATTAATATTCAATTCAATCACAAATAGCCTTTTAATTTTCAATTATTATAAATCTTGGTGGATAATAACCATTCCACTAACAATATACTAAATCTATCTCTTCATTATTCTCCGATGAGGAACAATCATCTCACTTATAATATAGTAAATATATATCTCTTCATTA